CAACTGGTAAAATCTCTCCTTTTGTTTTGCCTATTGCTGAGGTTAGGTTTAAGAGCCATATAGTCAAAAAGACAATTATGAGTGAGGCAAATGTTAGATTAGATGATTTTGATGAGTTTCATGCCATGATAAAGAAATGGAAATGGCTTAATATTGTCTCGGGTCTGACTGCACCCATACAAACTCTTGTTCAAGGGTTTTACGCCAATTTTGGCCTTGATGATGCTGAACCGAACTCTAACGTGCATGATGACAGAGTTTATGTTAAAGGTCATTGAGTTCTTTTCAATGAAGAGATTGTTAGGGATGCATTATGTTTGAAAAGGTTAAGAAAATTTTTGATTTGACCGGTTTGGAATTAGACCAAATTGTTAAGGTTATAACTGGTGGTTCAATTGCTATATGGCCAAGAAGTGGAGTTTTTTAGCCTAGTGCACTCACACCCTTTTACCGCCTGTTGTTTAAGATCTCACTTACAAATTGGTCTCGCTCAATGCACAATTCCAGTATTAGACCAGAAAGAGCACAACTTCTATATGGGATTGCACAAAGGAAGAAAAAAAAACTTAGATGTATTGATTTTCACAAGTGTTAGGGTGGTTGCACAATCCACATATTCTCTCCAAATTTTACCCTTTCCTTCTCTCATTTACAAGATCATTTCCACCTACAAATGAAAATTTTATGAAGTGGAGCCCTTGCTGAAATAAAGACTGTCGCCAAGAAATCTTTTCGACAACCATCAGGGAACATTCCTTCCACCTCTCCAGGTGAACACACAAGGACTAACACTTGGTAGTCCAAGCTTTTTGTTGCTATGCAGGACTTGGAGACTTCCATGGAGAATGTTCTCCAATATGTGAAGGAGATTCATCTATCCTTCAATGCTCGGATGGACAAAATGGAGTCTGATATGAAGAAGAAGAAGAAACATGCTTCTCTAGTTCAAACTGAACCTGCTGTTGCTCAAAAGAAGGTTTCTCCTATTGCTCTTATTGTCCATGTTACCCTTGCTGAGACTTTTGTTCCTACAGTTTCTGCTGAAGATCATGCTACTGTAATTCAAGAAAAAGAAGCTGCTCAGGAAGATGAAGATCAACCTAAAGATGCAACTGATCATGAACAGGTACAACACTCTGAAGAAGAGGATGCCTCCCGTGTGTGCACTAAAGATGTTCCTCCTCCGCCTGTCAGAGAGAAAACCTCTTCTGTCCAAGATGAATCTTGTCATGAAGTTGCTAAAACCGCATCTGATTCTACCCCAAATGTTAAAGTGAAGGATACTCATATCACCATCACTACTCCTCCCAAGAGAAGAGTCAAGAGGAAAGCTAATCGTACATAAGTACCCTCTCGAAAGTCTTCAAGACTTATGAACAAAGAGAGGGAGTAGGCATTATGGGGAGTGAATTTTAAAACTTTTTTTTTTTCTGTTTTGTTTATTGCTAAACTGTGAACTGTTTTGATATTATCTCTCCATGAGGGAGTTAGTTTTTTTTTTTCTCTACTGTTTTTGTTTTGTTTCTGTAGAACCTTTTAGTTATTTTACCTTGATGTTTCATTGGCTAACCTTGTGTTCATACTTGTGTTGCTTTTGGTTCTTTTTGTTTATGTGTTTGTTTCTTGCAAATCTGCAGGTTTGATTGGTTGATTGAAATAGGTTTGCACTTGATATCTTTTATTATGTTCATTCTTCATAAGTTTGACAAAGGAGGAGAATGTGGAATATTCATATTTTTCAAACTTATGAGTTATGTGTGCACAACAGTTATGTGTGCATAGTGGTTGCTAATCTTATGATTTGGCTTGTTTCCTTTGTCATGTCTGTGCACATCAGTTCTGCATGCACACTGGTTGCCAAACATGTGTCTTGGCTTGGTTCGTTTCGAGTGTGTGTGCACAACAGTTTGTGCTTACACTCTCGCTTCAAATATTTGCAACCCAACACGAGTTGCATGTCTGATAAAGTGAAAAAGATATTGTTTATCATTGTCTCTAACTTTTGGAGGACTTTTTACATGTGTCATATTATCCTTGAGTGGTCCTAGGGAATAAAGTTATCTTTCCCAGTTTGTTTTGTGGTCCAAACCAAAAGAAGGAATACTTTCCTCATTTGGACGAACATGGGTCAGCCCCTTATTGGCTGACGTGGCACATATGTGTTGAGCAAGAAACCCTACACTATATATCATCTCATCTTGCATCCTTGAATATAAATTTTTGATCTTTTATTTCATTGTACTTTGAAATTTCTTATAGTATTATTTCTTTTAAGGTTCAAAGGTTCATTTCCATTTTGTGCCAAAACCTCACCATATCATTCATTGACTTGATGGCTCTTGGAACGTGATTCCTTTGCTTATTCTGGTGCGTGGCATCAGTGCTTGAAGCTTGGTGGTTCACAAGCTGTTCTCGGGTGTGTTCCAGGTATGAAAAAGGTCCAAGGAGTTGCTATATATTAAATATTTAGAGGGTGGTGCTAAGTGTAAAGTTGAATAGGGAGTTCTTTTTACTGTTTCTTAGATCAACTTTGAACTATATCTTGTAATGTGTTTTCAACTTAGTGGATTACTTCGATCTGGACAAGGTCTCATGGATGTAGACTAAAAGTGGATTTTAGCCGGACCATGTATATGGCTGTGTTCTTTATTTTTCCGTACTTGGGTTTGATATGATTAAATTGGAAATGTCTTAATCAAATTGGTAATGCTTCCGCTGCACTTAAAATGGGTAATCATACGCTAAAGTGAGTTAACCAACTACTTACTCTCCCAACATTAACTAAATTTAACATTATAAATTAGTTAATTTGTTATTGTTAGAGTTCATGGAGACAAGTTGGTCGAGAAAGCCAAAAGCCTCTCTGTTGTGAAAACAAAACGACATGTTAAAAGACATATATAAATTGTTTTGATGGCATCGCATGGCATGAATGAAATAATTGTATGTAAAGAATATTTTATCTTTTTTGGGAAAAGATAGACTTTGGAAAATTTTAATTTAAAAAAAAAAAAAAAATATTCCCTCTAGACTTTTCTATAGCAACTAAGACCCAGATTAAAGATTCTCTCAATTGAACTTTTATCTAATAAGAGAACTGCTTCAACATTACATATATATTAGGTAACTCAATAAGGGATTAGGATCCTCTCCTGATATGAGTTCATCTAAACTTTTAAATATCTCATAACACATATTCATTTTTATTTATTTATGATTTATATTTATTTTGTCTAGTATATTCTTATTCTATAATTACCAATCATAAGCCTTTGAACGGTTAGATCATGAGAGAATCTTGATCCCTCAATAAGCTCTCTAAAGCCTCAACTTAAATTTAGACCCTAGATATAATTTCAGAATTTTTCGTTTCTCAAGCCCTTCACAATTACAATCAATTTGTATGTTACTTTTTATGTGCATTTATGCCCTAACAGTTTAATCCTAAACATTTTGACCCAAAAGTAAGAAAAAAATTGATTTAAAATTCATCTAATAAAAGACTTGCTAGATAATTAAAATATGAATAAATAAAATAATAAATCATGGTTATACATAATTTTTTTAAACCTAGTTCGCCCCTTGACCCGATCAAGTGGCTGGTTCCCAGGTTAGCCAGTCCAATTGGTTGGGCTGGGCGGTCGGACTGGAGAAGTATATCCAGCAGGTTTGAAATTCAGCAAACACACCCTTGAGAAATTACTCATCGGTCTCTACAAGATTGAAATACAACAGACACACCCCTGTGATTTTTAAATCCTTTTTTAATTTTTTATCACTTCAAGGTAAGCTCTTTTCTCTCTATTTAGCTCTCTAAATCTCTATATTTAAGAAACGAAGATAGTCGCTCCCTCCTCCACATCATCGCTCTTCTTGTTTGTGCACTCGGAGAAGACCGATGCACCTCCTCCCACCTCCCAAGCCCTTCCCCACCACCACCAAACCATCATCTTCTTCAAAACAGTTGACTACCATATGCCTTTGTGTTTCGTGCTATGCCCCCCTCTTCAGGCCGGATTCCAACCGATCTCGTCACCCAAAATCCTACCTATCGCCACCCCCAGCATCATCGGTCTCTTCTCTACAAAACCCCTAACACCCCCTGCCGAGATCACTCCCCAATCACCGTCGCTAACCACCCTAGGGTTTTCACGATTTGCAGGTTGTCTGGAGTTTTTTTTTTTTTTTTTTCGAAGTTGTTGGATGAAATTACCTACATATTTGGAGTGTGTGATTGTTGTGGATTGATTGTAACATTTTTTTTTTTTTTTTTTTTTTTCGAAGTTGTTGGATGAAATTACCTACATATTTGGAGTGTGTGATTGTTGTGGATTGATTGTAACATTTTCCCGACCATTTTCTTACCATCGAAGACCAAATTCTTGTCGATCGAAGACTGCAGATGGAAGAATGAAGATTGCAGATCGAAGAATGAAGAGTGAAGAGTCGGTCTAATTTTTTTTACAAGTTTTCACTTTTAGTGACCCGGTTTTGGCTCCGAGTTGGTTGAACCGGTGGTTTGTTACTATTCTGTTGGTTCAACCGTGAGTCAATCCAAGATATAGCCAAATTTAATGAGCGACTGGACTGGCGAAGGCCTCGATTCACGATCCAAATGATCAAACCGATAGAGCCAAGTCGGACCAGGTTTTAAAACATTGGTTATATATCAACAGCAACGATTATCAATTTGTTATAGAATCAATCTCTTTATTAAAATAGAGGATTAATTGAAATGGTGGCTAAAATTATGACGCATGTATTCATCAGCTAGAGCATGGTTTCATGTTGATAGGACAATATATGCATGGCAAATTGCCAATAAACAAATGAAACTGGAGCCACCCCACTTGTGTCGGAGCACCATAGATAAACAAATTTATAGAACATATCTTTCTATCAATCCAACAAACAGAAAAAGTTTAAGCATGCAAAAGACCAATGTTTTCTGCTCTCTCTTTCTCTTTTTATCATCACAACCATAAAATTTGTTAATGAAATCAAGTCCTAGTAATCGATCATCTTCTACGTCACTCTTAAATATATACCTTCTTTCTTCCCAACTTGCACAGGTCTCTCTCTTATTCCTCAGCATGATCTTTACACCTTCCATTTCTTTTTATCCGTTTTGGCTTTCTCTAGTCATCCCTTTCTGCTCTCAAACGAGAAGAAGTAATTAAACACTCTCCTTGACACAATACACCATTCAATTTCCCAGCTGTATTTTCATAAATACTAAAAGCTTTTGTGTGTTTGATCATATTTTAACTCCATGTCCATGTGGCCTAGATTAGTTGGGAATAAAATTCTCAGAAAGAGATTTGGAAGCAACAACTTTGTTGCGGATTTACCCATCTATACAGAAACCTTGCTAGAAATGCCGAGCTTGGATCACCAACCCTCTTTGAGCGAGACTATCTTCAATCATCATAAGGAAACACAAAACTTCAAGTAAGAAACAATTAAAGTTTGCTTAATTTTGTTAGAGTCATTCTTGAATAGTATTCGTCTTAATTTGTTTTATCCTTTTTCTATATTGTGAAGAGTTTTTGTTAATACATGGAACGTTGGTGGGGTTGCACCGCATGAAGATTTGGATATGGAGGATTGGCTTGATACTCGAAACAACTCCTGTGACATTTATGTTATGGGGTAATTAAAACACAATTTTAACAATGAAAAATTATTACAAAAATAAAAGCTAACAACATGCTTATTGTTATTTATTCTTTACAGGTTTCAGGAACTTGTGCCTCTACGAGCATTGAATGTTCTAGGACCTGAGAATAATAAGATGTTTAAGAAATGGAATTCCTTGATTAGAAAAGCACTAAACAGGAAATCACATTCCCGGGACAAAATCCAAAATGACAAACTTGAAGAAGTGCAAAGTCTGTCACCGATCCACGAAGGAAAATCAAATGAAAACAACATTCCTCATGAGGAATTCCTGTGTATAATGAGCAAGCAGATGGTCGGAATATGTATATCGGTCTGGATTCGAAGCGATCTTCGTCCATACGTCCGCCATCCAAGCGTCTCTTGTGTTGGCTGTGGCATCATGGGCTACCTAGGAAATAAGGTAAATCTTTTAAATTCATTGTCACCGAAATTTTGGTATGACTTTTGATTCTCTTATCATCTAAACTAACACAAACATTGAAAAATCTTGAGATATGTTGTGAAACAAGACAATACCACTCAGAATTTAGGATATAAGAAGCACACAAAACGGTAAGCAGACACCCAAGAAGGCGAAAAAAAATCTCGCCACTGAGAATTCTGACCAGTAATTTATGTTGATCTACAGTAACAAGTTATATACATATCTGTTTTGTTTATTTCTCGGAATAAAATATATTACCTTTTGTTTAGCGGTGTCATCTCATTTTGAGAATGCAATAATATGGTCAAAACCTTTCCGATCTTATAGATTCTTCTTAATTTCATTGAAATATACCACGGTTCCATGATGATATCAAATTTTTCATATTTATTTCATCTATAATTTTTGTTTGCAGGGTTCGGTGTCGGTTAGATTTCAGTTGCACGAAACAAGCTTCTGCTTTGTGTGCAGTCATTTAGCTTCAGGGGGAAGAGAAGGAGATGAGAAATACAGAAACTCCGATGTTGCTGAAATATTATCTCGAACAAGCTTCCCTAATGGAGGTCGTTCACTTAATCTGCCGCAAAATATTCTAGATCATGAGTATGTACTTTTCATTTAATTTGTCCATGATGAAACAATCTAAATCATTAATTCATAACCATGCAATTATTAATGTTAATTTGCCGCTATATTGTTTAAACTATGTCACAAAAGTTTGCTTAACAGCAAATCTTGAAAACAAAACATGAATATATAATTAACTAATTAAGACCTTCTAATTAATTAAGCTATTATTTCTTATATCAAACTTGGTAACTAGCCAAATATAACCAAATATATAAAAACGATTCTTTTTCATATTTGGCTAGTTGCTTTATTTTACATGGTGGGGCCTCACTTGGTAGATAAACCAACAAAATAGAATCATTTTCATGAATAGTAAATAGTTTTTTTTTTTTTTTTAATATAATAATTAAGTTGTTAAATCAGGCTGACTTCTTAATCAACACGTTAAAAATTAACTTTGAGCTCTAAACTACTTGTAAACCATCTTTTGTTATTATTATAAGTTTGTTTAAGCCTTTAACTGGTAGGAAATTTGTCTCCTGGTTATTCTAATAAGTTTTTTTTGAAGATAAAAGTAGCTTGGTGATATCAGCTAATTGCTTAATTGGTCATACATACAGTCAGGTAATTTTGCTTGGGGATTTAAATTATAGAATTTCCCTACCGGAAGAAACAACTCGATTATTGGTGGAAAGAAGAGAATGGAATCCACTGCTAGAAAATGATCAGGTAAACTAAATTAATTAATTATTCGAAGGACAAATTAATTAGCTTTACGTTTAATTGCCTTTTTTTTTTTTTCTGAATTTGGCTTTGAAATTGTGTTGTAATATTAATATAGCTAAGGATGGAGCTGATGAATGGACAAATACTCCAAAGTTGGAATGAAGGAGCAATCAAATTCGCTCCCACTTATAAATACTATCCAAATTCTGATGTATACTACGGATGTGTTCAAGGCAAAAAAGGCAAAAAATGGCGTGCACCTGCATGGTAATTTATCTTCTGAAAATTCAATTAATTATTTGAAAAGAATTGTCTTAAAGTGTCCCCTTAAAGTTAAGGGCACATGTTAAGAAAACTCTGGAAAGAATAAATTAAAATTATCATGAAATTACGTTGTTTTGTTTAATGTATACTTCAGGTGTGATCGAATAATTTGGAATGGAAGGAGATTAAAGCAACATCTATATGCTAGAGGAGAAACAAAATTGTCCGATCACCGACCAGTGAAGGCTGTATTTTCTGCAGAAGTTGAGATTTTACGAACGTTAAAAGGTATTCAAAGCTTCTTCATGTCGGAGAGATTCGACAGAATTACAACCCACTTTGAGATATCATTAAGCGATGATAATTTTCCATGTCCAGGAAGAGCTTCAAGCTTTCAAATCAGAGGATGAAGATCATCATAATTAACCTTAATTAATTATTATATGCATATATATAAGGCGGTGTTATCTATGTATAATTAATTAAATATGTGTAAAGAAAAGGTAAAAGGAAAATTTAAAGCTTCTTTCTTATATAGTAAGACTTAAATGAATTCAGTCATAGTCATCCTATCTCTTTCAGTTGATTATAAAATTAAGGTTTGGTTTGGTCTAACAATATGGTCGGAATTAATATAATTGCTAAGTTAATTAATTAAATAATTTTATGATCAAAATCCGGTTGTTGCATGCTAACCCCCACGCAGTCAATTAATTAATTAACAACTTTAATATAATCAAATTGCAATGATTAGTGCAGCCTGAGAATCAAACTGATTGGAGGATCTCAACGATAAGATCTTGTGAAAATACATAAAATATATATAGAATTTGAAGTATACATATTTTATATATGACAATAATGGAGTAGTTAAATTATAAGGATAAATTATAGCAACTCTTAGTTTTGCTCTAGTTGTGAAACTGTGAGCGCATCATCTTTATCTATTTTTATTTATTTTTTAGGTAGACAAGAAGTTCTTTCACTTTTATGCAACCAAGATATGATTTAATAACTACAAGTTGTTCATTGGTAAAGTAAGATCTATACCAACTCTTAGTTTTGCTTTTGAGGGACATATTTAATAATTTTTATTATTGGAGAAAGCAAGATCTATACCAACCCTTAGTTTTGCTATTGAGGAACATATTAATAATTTTTATTATTGGGGAAAGTGTTAGGGCCAAAAAATGTCCTCTGCCCAAATAGGCCCAAAGACAAAGACACCTTCAACAAAGCTTAGAGTCATGGCCTAATTCCGATTGGGCTCGCAACAGAGTTTGCATATTAGGTTAGCACACCTACCCTGTTGCTCACTGCTTGTGCCCAATCAGCAAAGACCCTGATTCGTTTAGGCCTCATCATCAACTTGTATGGGCTTAGGCCCTTTGATCCAAGATCACCTATTGGACCTATGGTTTACTTAGACCCTAAGGTTGCCTACTTATTATTTCGGTACTAGTCAGATTCTATCAAAGAGATCCATTACTATCCTAACTCGTCTAAGATCTGTATCTTATACCAACTAGGACTCCCTCTCCTACTAAGGTAAGGGAATCAAAAGCCTTCCTATTCACTAAACCTCAACCTCCAAAGGACTCACAGTCCTATTAGGACTCGAAGATCCTACAGTTGCTATTAAACAGAGGCCAACCCTCTCACTGGTAGGAGACATTACACCTTCTAACCCCGTAATTCTCACTCTTGAGAACCTCGCATCACAACCATAGTTGTCGTCTCCAACTAGACTTCTGGTAACCTTCTCTTTCCCTAACCCTCACTAAATTAGCCTTATTCAGCCTTGCTAACTTGAGCGTTAGAGTGCTTAAGGCAAACACCACCCCGGTGTTTTCCGTTCGCTTCACGCTTGTTTTCTTGCATGTGCAAGTACAACGGATTGCTAGTGCATGGCCTCAACCTCACGGGATCAGACCCTATTTCTATAGCGGTAGATTTTTTACATCTACAGTTTGGCGCCTGCCGTGGGGCCTTTGACAATCATTCGTCTTTCAAACCTTGCTTCGCAAGGAAACTCTTTATGGCTGAAAATTCAGATAACACCAATCCTGGTCTCGAGGCCAGACTAGAAGCTCTGACTGCCCTTATGCAACAGCACTCAAACAAGGTGGCAATACTGGAAGCTGAGAACGCTGCCATTCGGACCGAAAACGCTTCCATCCGGGCCGAAAACCAGTCCTTGAAAGAAATGGTGAGTCAATTTTATGACCTTGAGCTTTAACGTTGTCAGGTGCAACCCAATCGCTTCCGCGCATCGGTTCCATTCATGCAGCCTCTCCAGACTCTAGATCACAGATTGACCGCCTCGGATACTAGATCGCGTCAACTCTATTTCAACGTTAGTGGACGATTTAGCATTGAATCCAATTGAGCGAGGATTGCCAATAGAGCCACTTTCGGTCGACCCACTCTAGGCACGAGATCATGACATCCAAATAACAGAAAGCCTACCGCGACAAGAGCCACCCATCCTTGCCATCCCACCTCATCTCCAATCAATCATTCCTACCCAAACCCCACTTGGCTCGATTCATCCCCGTGCGTCAAGCGGGCTCCCTCACCTTCAATCCACCCCGCTCGAGTCGATCCATCCACAAGGACCGAGTGACTCCCAAATAACCTCTCTCACCATCCATGTAGGTTGAAACACCCGATTAGTCACAGTGGGAACCACCTAATTCGAGGGAATGAATGGAGATCCAAATTACCAAGCGACACACGATGGAACGATTCGCCAAACTACCCTACGTGACTTGACACAACTAAACATGTTGAGTACGAGTCATATGACGAACTAAGCCAACCAAGCCGAATTGGTGGCCTCCGCCTCGCCCATGGAGCAAATATTGGCCAAAAGGTTAACCGACATAGAGGTAATGATGAGGCATATACCTGGAGTGCCAATCCCAACCAAAAAAAGTCAACCTTACAGCTATGCTGATTCATCCATTGTGGATGCAATTGCACTAGCCGAGATGCCACACAAATTCACCATCCCTAGCATGACGGCTTACAATGGCACAACTGACCCGAATGACCACATAGCCTCATATAAGCAGTGGATGTTCTACCCCAAACGTTGAGGGAAGCCTGCATGTGTAAAAGCTTCAACTCTAGCCCCTCTGGACCAGCCCTTCAATGGTACACTAACCTTCCAAACAACTCAATCAGCTAATTCGCCTAACTCACCAAACAATTTGCCAATAGCAAGAAACTAGAGAAGCTGTCAGCCAACCTTTATAGATTCTACCAGAAGAGGGGGGAGCCGCTGACAGAGTATGTCAAGATTCAATAAAGAAAAAATCTTCATCCTATCCTATAATCCAGAGATAGTGGTTGATGCTTTCAGAAAGGGGCTCCTCCTAGATGAAGAACTATACAAAGAACTGACAAAACTTGGTTGCACCATAATGGAAGATGCCCTAGATGAAGAACTATACAAAGACCTGACAAAACTTGGTTGCACCATAATGGAAGACGCCCTAGCCAGAGTAGTGATCCAAATCAGATGGGAAGAAGACGAGGCAAATCAAATGAGGCATGCTAGATATGTGAACATTACCAAAGGTAGAGTGAAAGAAGGCCAGAGTCCAGATCGTTTGAGCCCCGTTATCAACTCCTTCCCCGTAATCCAAGCTGAATCAAAAAATCGTATGATCGCCAGCCGACCAAAGCTACAGATAGGCCTTCCGGATCAAAACAATTCAAGATTCTAGAGTACAATCTCAACGTTGAGCCAGCTCAAGTCGTGGCAATCATGAGAGGGATGGGACCTACCATAAAGTGGACAGTCAAGCTCAATCCTGATGTAAAGAGGGACACGACCAAGTGGTGCAAATTTCACGGCGATCATGGTCATAACACTGTCAATTGCATCACCCTAAGATTGGAAGTTGTAGCACTATTTAAGAGAGGACATCTTCGAGACTTGTTGACAGATAAAGGGAAGAATACAGTTGGCCATAGAAGCTCGAAAGAAACATCTCCCCCTCCATAGGAATCGACACCAAAAGAGTTCTGCTCTATTATCTCTAGAGTGTCAGAAATCAGTGGGGTGAGTTATTCCTCCACCAAGTGCTACGTTTGAGCCAGCCATCATCTAGAAGTCTAGTCCATCTATCCAACCACTCGAGCGCATACCAACCAGATCATTCAGTTTGAAGATGATGAGCCAATCACCTTAGCTTCCTATCATTACGATGCTCTGGTCATCTCCCTCCAAATCGCCAACATCCTAGTCAAGGAGTATTTGTAGACAGGGGATCCTTGGCAAACATCATCTTCCTTAAAGCAGTGAAAGCCATGGGACTGGATGAATCAAACATCAACAGACGGTCAACCATCCTAGTTAGGTTCAATTCTGAGTAGAAGTACACCATCGGTGAAATGTCCTTGCTTGTCTACGCCAGCATAATCAACAAGCAAACCATCTTCCTAGTGCTTGATTGCCCCTCACTATACAACGTCATCTTGGGTCGACCCTGGATCCACGACATGTGGCTGTCCCATCCACCTTCCACCAAACTATCAGGTTTCCAACAAAATAGGGAGTAAGAGAAATCTAGGGCAATCCTAAGGCATCCAAAGACTGTTACAAGAACACCTTCAAAGGTAAACGTCATGCTTCATAGCAACTACAACCCCATCCAACGCTTCCGACCGAGCCAGATCAATCACCCATGGAAGAGTTGGATACAGTGCAGATACATTTGGACCACCCCAGCCGAAAGACCCAGATAGGCTCTCACTTTAAGCCTGAGATAAGAGAACAACTTATAAACTTCCTCAAACAAAATCAAGATTGCTAGAACATATCCTTAGTCCTCTTCAAGTACTTAAGAATATTCATGACAGCCATCTAGTGACGCTCACCTAGATCCGATTGATATCTATTACAAGTGCTCAGAGCACATGAGACATCAATCCAATTACATAGCATGGCATACATGATGGATCCAATTACTGATGCATATGGGATCCTCTTCATCCTATCTCTCTCATCTTGTGTTCTAGGACACATTTCCTTAGAGAGATAAACACCATGTGACATTAGAAGAAATCCCTTCTTGGATTCTTCCATATTGAATCTTTTCAGTACTTTGTTATTATATGCACTCTGACTTAGGCCAAGCAACCTACGTGATCTATCACGATAGATCTTTATTTCAAGGATGTAGGCTGCTTCCCCTAAGCCCTTCATAGAGAAGTACTTGGATAACTAAGTGTTTACAAACTAAAAGTTCGGTATATCATTCCCGATCCGAATTATGTCATCGACATACAACACTAGGAATGCCACAACATTCCCACTCACTTTTTTGTAAACACATGGCTTATCTTCGTTCTTGATAAAACCGAATTCTTTTATGGCCTCATCAAAACGAATTTTCCAGCTCCTAGAAGCTTCTTGAGTCCATGTATGGATCTCTGCAACTTGTATACCCTATCAGCTTGCCCATCAAGAACGAAACAATAGGGTTGTGTCATATACACATCC